AGCATAAATTGCTTGATTTTTCGTCTGCTTAGACTGTCATGGTCGTGAACGACGTAAACAGCAGCACGCATTATATACGCGGCGACCAATCAGAGCAATCCCCTTCCTCCCCACTACTTCAAACGCTAGTGCGCTGTTTCCAGAACCCCCGCGTCCCACTACTCCCCCCGATGAAACCATCGAACCTCCTTAATGTCTGCACGATGCTCTTTAACGCGAGTTTCTAAGTGGCGCTTGGTTTGGCCAATGTAACAAGCATTGCAATCCGAGCAATCTAATTTGTAGACAACGCCCGTGTGTTTCATGATCTCTAATTTGTCCTTCCCTTTTTTAATTAGTGCGTCTAATTTCTTAGGAACGGTATACAAGGTACTCAAACCATAATTGCTGAAAATGCGTCGTAAACCCTCACTAAAAGTTTTAACATGCGGGATAGGAATATAATTTTTGAGATCAGGGATATTAGCGCTATTTATACGGTTGTCAGATTTATCGTTATTTGACCGTTTATCAATTTCAGCAAGTCTTCTTCGAATATGTTTATCAACGAGAGGGGCCGGAAAGCAATTGTTCAGTAAAATAGTTTTTATATCACACGTGCGTGGAAAGTGGCCCATTACGCGCGCGCCATTTGTGTGACAAATAGCCAATTCCATACACGAGTCAAAACAGTGCGGTAATGTAACATTACCGCACTGTTTCTTCGAAACTGTGCGGTAATGTAAACATTACCGCACTGTTTTGACTCGTGTATGGAATCGGCCATTCGTCGCACAGATGACGCGCGCGCAATAATGGGCCACTTTCCACGCACTTTGTAATATAAAATAGGGTGTGTAACACGTGCGGGATGAGAATTGGACACTCGTGCGGGTGATCGCACTCGCCTTCGGCTCGTGCGTCCACTCCGCACTCGTGTCCAATTCTCAACTTCCCGCACTTGTTACACAAATAACTATTATCAAACTGATGTTATCGTTATGAAACTGTACGTCCGACAGCAGTATGGCGTGATCGACCAAGTTGATGATGGTATTAATCTTATATTTTAAAGGATGACTGGAGAAGTAATTAATATAACGGCCAGAAAACGTTGGTTTACGATACCAGTTGGTGGCTAAACAATTATCGTTTCTGAAGACCGACGTGTCCAAGAAATTCAAACAATTGTCTCTCTCTAATTCGTACGTGAATTTGAGACGCGGATGGTAATTATTGAAAATATGGACAACATCGTCAAGTCGTGATCGCGGAATACACATAAAAATGTCATCGACATAACGTAGAAATATCGCAATCTGAAAATCAAAGGATTGAAGGCAGCTGGTTTCACAATCATCCATTACAATGTCCGCCAAAATCGGTGAAAGGGGGGAACCCATTGGACTACCAAAAATCTGCTCAAAAAATTCCCCATTAAAAGAAAAATTCTGCATTGACATCAAAACACTACTCTATACAACACAGTACTCTGTGCTACCAAAATCACGTGAAAGTAGGTTACGCTTAGGTTGTGCGATATAGTTATTGCAAACGATATAATTGCAATCGAAAGTCGAAACCCAGCGAGAAATGATCCGTCTATAGACATCTAAAATCAACGTCATATGTTTGCATATGTTTGCAATGGCGAACCGTAAACGTGGTAAGTAATTATTCTCTTCATTTATATATGTATTTATATATGTATATACATATATACGTACACATTTCATACTTATATAAAGCATTCATTTATTCATTTACGGCGTAACATTCTTGTAAGCAATGATTTTTTTCTAACCTGTAATTGTGACCGGAACAACGATTGATGTTATAAAATTTGAAATTATAGCCACTTACTACTTGGGCTGAAATTACGGTCGCCACTGTATTTTCCTGGTTAAATACAGAAACCCTGTTCGAATGCGTTGCCCCGTCTTTCCTTCTAGCGTAATGGCTGCCGTTTCCTACGTCGCGGACGTGTTCAAGGCCGTCGGCCACGCCCTTGTTAAGCGCACGTAATATACGGATAATCGGACAGCATGTTCACTGGGGTTGCGAATAATGAGTCTTTGTTTATTATAAACAAATAACAATTTAATAATTCAAAGTTTACAGTATCTCCGTACACGAACGGACAGGTTCTATCGCGCACTATCTTGCCACGATCTGTATCGAACTCTCATGTACCGTCGTTAAAAAGCTATTTTACGGCTATGTACCGTTTCGCGTGGTTATCGTTCACGTAATTATCGTATACGGCTACGGGATAAGTGCACCGGATTCGAATTGTTAAGCGCCGCGTGTTGGCGTCTCGAAAATTCACGGCGGACTGTCCGGGAGGAACGGGTCGAGTTCCCCCACCTTGATGCTTGCGCAGGCGTAAAGCCTTTCTTTTACGCGCGAACATGATGTATATCGCGCGCCAATCTGTTCTAGCCAATCGTATCGCTTGGTGATGAGCGACAAGATCCCTCTTTCGTAACGATGCATCACTTCCCGTGCGCTGAGCCGTTCTCATTGGCTCAGCTCTAATCTGACTGAGATACTGAAACGGGATTGGACGGCGGACAAGGGCTCTCGCTTCGACCTCGGCGATGCGGCAATCAATGGCAGCCGTCGCAATTTGCACGATGTGCAAGTTCGCGGCAAGTCACTCGGAACGTTTTCCGAGTGACCGTGTATGGTCATGGTGACGTTCCCCTTGTATGCCAGGTAAGTATTTTATTTACTAGAATCAATTATTTTAATTCTCCTTTTCTTTCAGGTACCGGGACTTCGTGGGATCGTCTCGCCCAATCAACGGATTGGTAAGTGTCGTCGGTAGGTATCCAAACGGTAAGTATAATATAAGTATCGCATACAATAGAAAATAAGTAATATTAATTGTTTCGACAGGGAAAAACATAAAATCAATTATATAAAGCAAATATCGCGTTTTGGAACGAATCTCGCTGTATCGAACCATGCTCGCTTCTCATTGGTCGTTCATACGCTCTTGCGATAGAAAGTTGTGCTCTGCGCTCTCATTGGCTGAAGGCCTTGTAAAATCGAGAATGTATCGAGAAATATGTAAAATAATATCAAATTGCCAGGAATCAATCCTATTGGCTCTCAAACTGTCTAAAATCTCCGAAATGATGGAATCTATGGAAAATAATAAAATCTCGCGCAAAATCGACTGGGTCGTTCCCCATTGGTCGCTGTGACTCGACATTTCGATTGAGCTGTCAAAACTCCTTAAATAAATTAATTGAACATAAAATACTCTCGGTAGGACTCCATTGGTCCTCGCTCGTGCACTCGCAATCGCAATGCATGCATAATGGTTTATGGGTCCTCGGCAACCAATCGCGGATCGATCTCGAGGCTCAATAGTGAAATGTAAAGTGTGTAAATGGTGAATATCATGCTGATGGTTTGTACGTCGGGAAAATTAATTATGATGGGAACAAATATGATTATATAGGGTGACTATTAGGTATTCCTTTATCTTCATCTTGTGAATATTTAATCTTTCTATACAGGTAATAAGGTCTCGCTTTCGCAACGTTGGAATACGCTAGCAATAGTATGCAAACGATTGAAATGGCAAACAATATGAATATGAATGCTAAAACTAGAATCCTGAACTTATCAGAATCCATTTGGTAATGCTGGCCTGTGATTGGCTCTTTTCCTGAATCTACTTTTAAACGTTAAAATTTATCCTGTCTCTACTCGGCCTGCTATTGGCTCAAAACTACTATTGTAAATCTCCCGTTTATTATCGGGTGTCTCATGGGGATATGTGGAATGATTGGATTTTTTAAGGATAAGTTTTATGTATTTGTTTGTGTGTGATTATTATAATGTATTTCGAACTCACGCGTTCTTATGGTTAATTCATACGCAATAAAAATGTTTGAAACAAACGTAAAAACAAGTTATAAAATAAAAATAAAATCAAATAAATCTCTCGCTTCCGCGTTACATAATAATAAGTCTCTCACTAGACTAAAGGCAATTGCACATGCACTTTTTCATCGTTAAAATTTAAGAATGAATCAAAGTTTAAAATAAAATATTCGCGCACGGAACTTTAGTTATCCGCCGCTTGTGATTGACCCTGAGAGCCCAGTGTGTTCTCGTCCTCGCCTGTCACCTGCGGTTGGCTGGACTCCACCTGGTATGCCTCGCCATATCCAGCGGGCTGTGTCTGTGTTGCTGTGCTTCGCCGTAACCAGCGGGCTGTATGGGTATCTGCTGCGCCTCGCCGTAACCAACGGCACAGTATGTACAGTAGCGCAACTCTCACAATTTCAGCGTGTACGAAATTCAACTGCACATGCTCGAGCTAAGTAGATAACCAATCACAGATCTGATCTTTTGTCGCATTTCTTCTCTCTATTTCCTCTATAGCGCTTTCTCTCTTACTTATATAGCGGTTAAAATTGGCGGTAACAGACATCTTACAGAAGTGAAATGTGCGAGAAATCGGAGTTAGACGTGAAGGATAAAGAAAGTGAGCAGGAATATTCAGTGTTTAGTGTTAAGTGTTCAGTGTTCAGTGTTCAATTATATAAAGAGTGAAAGAAATAAACCTTAAAATTGACAGTTAACCAAGAAAAATTATATTTAGTCTTAGAGCACAGTATATACAATAGCGCAACTCTCCCGATTTCAGCGTGGATGAAAATGAACTGCACATGCGCGTGCGAGGTATGTAACCAATCAGAGCACTGATATTCTGTCTCACTTCTGCTCACTTCCTCTCTGTATTTTCGCTCTCTGTCAGCACCGTTGAGATGCTCCATGCAGGGCAGGACCTTTAAATGGCCGTTTAGTAGAAAGTGGCGGCAACGGACATCTGATGTGATCTGAAATAATAAAGTGATAAAGTGGTGAAGTGATAAGTCTTCAGTGAATAGTGTACAGGTGTTTAGTAAACGGTGCAAGAAAACCGAGAACAAATTATTTTCCTTACGGAGAATAGTTAATCTGTACAAAAATTGTACAGATTCTCGATTCTCTTATAAAGGAAAATTACTTTGGTCTTAGCTTTGTTGCAGGTATTTGTGAAGAAATCTTGAGGGAAAATCTGGAAGAAAAAAATGGCCCATCAATCAAGCGCGTGGTGTGTTGTTCAGAAATGCAACAAAAATATTGTGGAAAAACGACATTTTTTTCGGTTTCCAAAGGAACATGAAAGATATAATGATTTTATTTCATTTATTAATTATTATTTTTTAAAACAAGTATAAATTTACATATAAAATACTATTTTAATATTTCTAAACGTATGTATATTATTACGTGCATGCATATGTATATATTATTACAATATTTCTTTACATTTACAAATTTGAATAATATTTACAGATGGTTGCAATGGATACGTGCTTGTGAAAGATTAGATTTGGAAGCAATGGGTGCAGAATATGGCCATCGCAATTATCGATTGTGCCACTTACATTTTGAAGAAAAGTGGTACAAGATAAGTAAGAGTAGAGCTCATCTTCAACCAGATGCTGTACCAACAATATTTTTTGAAAGAAAGTAAGCCCATACACATCTTATAATGTATAATCTTTTCTATTCTAAATAATGTGGTTTTTTATATTTAATAGTATATTGTATATTAAAAAATATCAAACAATATTTTTGATAATATAATACACGTTATAATTAATGATATTGCATATAATTTATAGCAATGCATGTATTACAACATCAGCAATTGAAAAGATGGATGAAGAGCTACCTGAAGAAGAAAATCTTTATATTTTACAACAAGAGGAAACAAATAGGTAGTTAAATATCTGAAAACGTATTTATCTTTCTATTATAGATAGTATTTTGTTCTTATAATTAACTTGTTTTAGACATTTTTTATTTAGCAATAAAAAGTAATATTACACTAAAATGGTATGTTTCAGTGACTTACAATCGAAATCATTCCCGCCTATAACAGAGCAGATGCCAAAATGTGATAAAGATGTCCATATTATTGCTAAGCCGTACGTATTTGTATTTACATTATATACATACATATGTGTTTTTATAATATATTATTTCTTTTATACAGTTTTTTATAATCAGTCTGTAGATTTTGATTTAAACTTACAACTTATTACAGTCTATTTTATGTTTCTTTTCTTTTAAAAATTGCATTCTGCATTTAATATAACAAGACATAAATAATATTACGTGAGAGTAATTGTATTTATAAAAACATTTGTCTTATTTTAACATATCTGCATATACATATAAAAAAAAAACACATGCATATATAAGATAATTATAAATAAATAAGGTTATCAATACCATATCTATTTAATTTTAATATTCAAATATAAGTTTTTCAAGAGTTTATAATAAATATTTGGTTTATTTTATTTTTATATTTTTTCGTTATTGACATTTCTAAAATTGTAATTAATACTTCAATTTTCTTTCCAGAGGTTTACTATCTGTTTTTTGCTATAATATATGTATATGTTACGTATAGGAGCACGTCCAACAGCACAATAAGAAGAGAAGAAAGTCCGCGGAAGAAAAAATTGCAACAACGCATTGTACGATTACAAGGGAGAGTAAAAACACTGGACGAAAGAAACAGACGGCTTCAGAAGAAAGTGAAGATTTTAATTGTAAGGAAGAAAAAAGCAGAAAAAGAGAAGCTTAAGGACCATGAGATTCTACGTCAATTAGGCTGTAAGTTTTTTTCTCCGACTTTCGCACGATTGTTATCTGCCCAAATTGATGCGCAAATTAAAAGCAAACATGGAAGACGGTATAGTTCCGAATTTAAACAATTTGCTTTAGGTATATACTTTCTAAGTCCGCGATGTTATAAAGAACTTCAAAAAGAATTAGCATTACCTGCCATACGCAGTCTACATAAGTTTACACAAACGTGGCAAATTAAACCCGGTATAAATGATAAAATTTTTGATGTGTTAGCTGTAAAGTTAAATTCATTGCCACTATTAGAACGTCATTGCATTTTGTGCATAAATGAAATGAGTCTACAAGCTCATTTATTTTACAATGTTTTACAAGATGAAATAATTGGTTTTCAAGATACCGGTAATGATCAGAAAG